GTGTTTAAATAAACTGGTACATCTAATGACTTCTTTCTTATCACAGTAAGCCAGGCTACAATTTTTGCCTTATACAGACTGCTAAGCACACTTTTTCTCTCTTTATATTCAAAGCTGAACATATACTTCTTCAGAAGGTTCTTCTACCTCCCCTCTCTGTGTCCCATTAACCAAGAGTTAAGCAAATTTTAAGAATTTTCAATGGGCTATAGGATAAACAAGCTTGAGTAACCTTCCAGCAGCATTGGGTGAGCCAGAGAAACCACTCAATGAACCCCCTTTTGATTAAAAAAACATTAGAACTTTGAGAATAAAACAATTCCTTCTCTTCTCATCAGTGAAATGAAGTCAATACCTGTGAAAGGGCAGATTTCTAATGAAAACATGACAAAGTACCAAATACTATGGTATAAAATATTACTATCATTTTTTTAAAAAGGCTTATACACTATATAAATACATTATTTTCAGATTAATTGTCCTATCAAAAGCACCACTTCCCAACCTAATTTGCCTTCTCAAAGTTTTGAAACATCAGATAAAAACAAAACAGTGTATAAACTGAATTGAAGGTCTATAGATCTCACCAGCCCATGGCTACAGATAGCCTTCATTATTAGTATCAGCCTAAATGCTACTGGTTCTTCCCCCTGATAACTTAGCCAGGACCTCCAGTCCCCTGATGCCCTCCCACTGTCTCCTATCGAAAGGGCCGATGGGATGTGTCTCCCATGTGTGCCTGAGCCCCACCCTGCCTGTTGGCTTGGCAGAATCTGCTGGCCACTGATGCTTCTCCTTCCTTGGGCACCAGTGTCTCTCTGGGGAGGCTCTCACTGGGATTCTCATGAGTGCTGTCTGTGGCTCGGCACTGGCTGCTTCTCCACTGGGTGGATGTGGCAGAGTACACCAGATTCTTCAAGGAGCAGAAGTCCCCTCCCCTCTCTTCCTTCTGTGACATACTGTTAAGGCAGCTCTCAGTATTACTTGTGCTTTGGTATTTAGCAGAGCTTTGGTGAAGCAGCTCTTTAGGTTTTTACTTACTGGCTTCCTTCTGACTCTGTAATCTGGAAAGAAGGCCATCGAAGAGCGGGAGGGAGACAGAGCTATCAAGGCCAAGCACCAGTCCCCTTTCATACCAAGGTTGTCTCTCACCTCTGACAACCAAGACTTCACCCTGAGACTGGATCTGTCTTTTCTTGGCATGAATGATCTCCTAGGAGACTTCAGTTATCCCACCAGAACTTTCAGGTTTCCCCCTAGTTCACTCAATAAGATAAGCCTCAGCCTCCTACAGTGCGCACATCCCAAACACAAGCTCTGATCCCTACTGAGGATTTACTATTGTTTCCATGAAAACCACCCAAGCCAACTCCAGGGACTGAATTTGCCATTCAGAGATTGTGTGTTGAGGATGACAGCGAAGTGAAACTCAGTGGCAGTAGGGTGGAGAGGCAGGGCAAGGCTGGAAAGCTATCAAGAAGGTGCAAGGATGCTTTTTCTTCACCTGGGGTGTGCATTCTCTCTGCAGAATGACATCTTTGAGTGGTCCAGGGACCACCGAGTCCACCACAAGTACTCAGAGACTGACGCTGACCCCCACAACGCCCGCCGGGGCTTCTTCTTCTCCCACATCGGGTGGCTGTTTGTTCGCAAGCACCGAGATGTCATCGAGAAGGGGAGAAAGCTTGACGTCACTGACCTGCTGGCTGATCCCGTGGTCCGGTTCCAGAGAAAGTAAGTAAATGGACACCATCGCGTTGTCCCCCAGGGAACGGGACCATGAGACAGAGAACAAAATGGGACACAGTAAGATTCCCAGTAGTTTTCATAGCACTTATCCTGATGATTTGGTCTTATTGGGATTCATCTTTGTTTACTCATTTCCTTTTGCTCAATAAGTTTTCCCTGTTGATACATTTGCTTTTAATTTAAACTTCAATTTGAGATGGATTTCCTTTAAGCCCAGTGTCATTTTCCTCAGACCAATCTGCATGACTGATTTCATGGAATCTGTTTCTGTTTCCCCACTCCCCCATCCATGTTTCCCTGGGGTGCTGGGGAGGGTGGGAAGGGCTTGCTTTATTTTAGTGACACACTTCACCCCAACAGGTCTGGACTATCAAAGTATCCTGCTCTGTTCTCCTGGAATTCTATTGTAGTGCAGTCCCCAGTCCTCTTATCCCTGGAAATGTTACACAGCAGGATTTTCTGTAGAGAAAATGCAACTGTGTGAGACAGCCTCAAATGCCTGTGTGCACTGATGTATCAGCTGAGCATATCCAGTCAGTCGGCCTTTGCAGGGTGAACTTTTCAACAAGCACATGAAGAAAGGCTGCTCAGCATTGTGCTGGCAAGTAAAGAGCAACAGTTGTTGGCCTTTTAAGTAGGAAGCTGTCATGGACTCTATCCATGTTGGTCTGGGTCTGCAAAGTTGGCCACCATGAGAGCATTTATAAATGGGCTCCTTGCCCCAAAGCAACAGATTGATGTGCAGAGAGGGACAATGAGCAGATTGCACTCTGGTTAGAGCCTGGAGATAATACAGTGAACAAGTGGTTACTGGAGGCCACCTCCACTGACAGGCAGGGGTCATTTGAAGACTTACCTAAATAGAATCTCCTGAAACGGAGGAAAATGGAGGCTGTGCCCTTGCCTGACACAAGAGATCCTTGCATGAAACGAAGTATGGCTTAGAAAAGTGTTCATTTTCCCCTCAGTGTCAGCCGTTACGTTGGAGCGGGTAGCAGCAGTGCATAGTGAGAAACTGGTGGACTGTGGAGACAGACTGCCCGGCCTCAAACTTTGCGGCTCCTCCACATACCAGCGAAACAACTGACTGCTCGAAGGCTCAGTTTTAGCTGTAAAATGGGGCTAACAGTAGCACCTATCTCTTACAGTTTTTATGAGGATATAATGGGGAAAAAAGTATGGGAAATGCCTGACTCATGTAAATAAGAGCTTAGATCAGTGATTTTTATTATCACACAGGCAGTTGGTAGTCCGGAGGACTCCGGGTGATACCGTCCCTGCTTCTGTCAGCTGCACCATCGGGTCTTAGCTCTCTGTGCCCCAATACAGCTCTTTCACATGGACACACCCAGTGCCAATTGCCACAAATTCTATAGCAGAAAATATCAATATTTTTCATTTAACAATTACATGATATGTTGATTTAGATTTTTCACCAGGAAAATAAAGTATTAAAGGTCACTGAAGAAAATCTGCAAGATTCTAAAAAGTATAAACACGGTCCTAACACATAAACACAACCACTGTTAATATTCTCTAGTGAATCTTCCTATATTTTATGCATATATTTGTTCTGTTTTGCATGATGGCAGTCATACTGCACATGTAATTTTATGTCTTGCCTTTTAACTTCAAAGTACATTGTAGGCACCTTGTCGAAGTCTGCAAGAGTTCACCAGTTGAGAGTTATAGTTTATTTAACCATTTCTGACTGGATATGTATGTCATTTCCAATTTTATGATATAAATGATGTTGCTATACAATTAGTAATGCTTTGGGACAATTAGACCTTAGATTAATTTGAAGAGCTCATATGAGAAGGCAAAGGATCTTCTATTTTATTAATGAGAACTGAGCTGTGTGTAATAGTCTGGGTTTCTCTGACCATACAAATGAAAGTTTAAAAAAAATTTTTCTCCCTTGAAAAATGTGGTGATGTGATTCATTAGGGTAATCTCATGCATGGTACATATGTCCAAAGACTATTTCCCAATACAAAGAGAAGGACAAAGACTATTTCAGCATGTTCCCTCAGTAGTTGCCTGAGAACATCTTTTACCACCAGTTCAGTGGCCAAAGGGGCCTGCAGCTCTCAGAAACCCTCCCCTCATGTCATTGTGAGCTCTTGCTAGGAATCAGTACCGAGAATACAACCTTAAAGATTGTTTTCTGTCCCCCTACCCAGAGTTTGCAGATTAGCAGGGAACTCGCAAGTTAAGTTACAGGTAATTATAGTCTAGTGAGAGGAACACTATAATAGGGGAGTAGAGGGCACCGTGGGAGCACAGAGAGGGGTCTCTTAGCCCACGCTGATGAGAGTGAGGGAAGGCTGATGGAAGGAACTAGCTTCTAGTTCAAGTCAAGACCTGAAAGGTGAGAAGAAGTTAGATGAGGATGGGGGAATGGATATTTATCTGTTATTTCACAGCACTACATGGAGACTCATAGGTTTAAAGCTAAGAGAGACCTTACAAATCATTTAGCCCATGCCTTCCATTTTTCCGATGGGAAAACTAACAAAATGTAGATAGAAAGTTAGGTATTGGTGCTGTCTTGGTCTGTTTGGGCTGCCATAACAAAAATACTATAGACTAGTTGGCTTAGATAACAGATCTTTATTTCTCAAATTTGGAGGTCTGAGATCAAGGCATCAGCAGATCCCATGTCTGGTAAAGAGCTGTCTTCCTGGCTCATAGACAGCCACCTTCTTGCTGTGTCACATGGCAGAAGGGGCAAGGGCGCTGTCTGGGTCTCTTTATTAGGATAGTAATTCCATTGCTGAGGGCCCCACCCTCATGGCCTGTCACCCCCTAATGCCATTGCACTAGGGATTTGGTTTCAACAGATGACTTTGGGAGTGGGGGGTGGGCAGGGACATAAGCATTTAGTCTATAACAAGTACCTACACCTCAGATTATTTGCTCAATGTTCTTTGGATTATACCTTGCTGTTCAAAAGGAGTTACAGTGGTCTCTGAAGTGTTGGTGAGCACTCATGGCATTTGGTAATATTCCAGCCTGGAGAACTTCAAGATCTATATTCCAAAATAAGGCTTAGAATCACTGAATAAAGTAAGAGAGCATCTAAGATACAGAGAGATAATGCAATGAATTCTGTATTTTCATGTTCATGAAGCCAGCTTTACTGGGCCTGCCAGCCAGACCATGTGGAGGAGGCAGAATCCTTAAGGCATGAGTCCTTGCACTTAGGGGTGTGAGCTGGGGGGTGCCTCCCATCCTCAGCAGCCCTGCCACATCCTTTCTCAGTCCTAGCTACCCTAGGCTGAGTGGGGGTCTTGATAAGTAACAGAAACAGGTGCCAGCTTGTTTGGGGGCAGTACTGGCTTGTTTTGGTGGCATACCTCTAGAGTTCCCCTCCTGGGTGGAGGTCCCACCTGCTGTCCTTGCTCCAGTTCCGGTGGCTGGACTTTGCATGGATTCCACTGCACTCCTAGGGTGTAATGCTTGTGCAGCTGATCCAGCTAAGTGCAGATGGAGAGTTTCCTCAAAAACGTAAGTGTGTCAGTGGCAGAGACCAAGGACTGAGAGATTCCTCTTCAGTCGGTACAGCAGCACTCATATTGAAGTTGGTTGATAGACTTGTGCTTAGCTAATGACAATGCACCAAAGAAAAACTTGCCAGGAGCCAAGTTTGATCAGCTTCCCATTATACAGTCTAATAAAAGAAGATGAAACATTAATGATAACAGGAAAAAACACAGTTCAAGCTATAGTTCCAGAGATTTCCTCTGAAAGATAATCTTACCAAGGTTGTTAGAATAAGTAGTTAACTGGGCTACATCAAGTTTTGCTCTGCTGTCAGGTTGTGAATGACCACAAGACAGGCATCAGCGGGTGAGAAGAGAGAAGCTAGTGAGGTCACATTTAGACCCTGGCCACTTGGGGCCCTGCCCTAGGTTTTGGGCCTCAAAGGGCCATGCCTCTCTGCAGAGTGAGGAGATCACACGGCAAAGAGACAGGCCACCCAGAGCCTCCTCCCAATTCTAGACCATGCCTTGGGCGTCCTAGGATCCTGGAATTCCCTGCCTAAATGGCTCTGAACCCACTTCCAGAGCCTACACCAGCCTCTCTCTGGCTTTATCATCTTGACAGGAAATGTGTGTGCCCAACGCCCGAAGAGGGGCCAAGGGGCAGTGTGAGCGTAGGGACGAGCTTAGTGTGAGCCTGGATATCCACACAAAGTGAACAGAGTCAGGTTGGGAAGAGAAGCGGGTGGGCCATAGGCCAGGCGCCTCCACCTCTGCTCTTAGCACAGGCCCTGCACATGTTGGAGGTAAGCCTAGAGGGGGCCACTCATAAGACTGACAATGTGTCTGTCAGTTAGGAATTGTGTTTGGCTTAAACAAGTTAGAAGTTTATTTATCTCACATATAAAAGAATTGTGAATGGAGGTCCAGGTTATGGAAGCATCTCAAGGTCAGTAGAGAAACCAGATTCTTTTACCTTTCTGCTCTACCATCCTTAGCATGTGACTTTAATTCTGTCATTCTGTCAAAAGGGACCTCTAGAGCTCTAACCAGAAGGAAAGTGGGAGTGAAGGGGTGGGGGTAACACTACTGAGTGAGTCAGTTGCCTATAAGGAGCTTTCCCAGAAGACACACTCAGCCTAGCCATTTACCTCTCATTAACTGCCTCTGCACTCCAGGGAACCTGGGAAATGCAGTCTCTTGATTGATGTATTGAACCCTTGAAAGAAATCTTGGCTCTGTTTCTATGGAAGTAAGGTGAATTGATATGAGGTAAGCAACTAGCAGTCCCTATCATAATTAATTAATTCTTCTACATTAAGCAATGTGATTGGCTGTCATGAGTTACTCAGTCTTACACATTTTTGTTGTACAACAAGTGAGTAGCCTCTGTCTCCATTTAGTGAGCAGAAACTAGAATCTTGAATTTTCCTGAGATGGCAGAATGAAGATAAAATTGAGAGGTTGTTCCTCCTACTGCTTTACTTACCCCATTGATTCCCATCTTAGATAAGAAAGTCCTTCTGAAGTAAGATGCAGACACTGTTATGTGCATTTTTAAGTAATTGACCAGGATGGTTATCTGGTCCAGGCACATGGAAACAAGACCCTGGCCTCATTGCCATGGTGATGAGATAAGCTAGGAGAAAATGGATGGAATGATTCGAAAGAGTGAAGCACTTCTCTTTTGGGACAAGATGAAAATATGTAACAGGAAGAAAGACACGTGAACATCCAGAAGCTTTTGGAGGCCTTTTTCACCTCAGTTTGTCCCCTGGTCTGTTTTCATTAGTCCTTTTTTTTCCCCAAGGATGAGCACCGCATCTCTCAGTGATATCCACCTTCTTATAGCTGTGTGCCAATCCTGTCTAAACTCTCAAGTGTATTTCTCTGTTGGCAGAGTCGGAGCAGAGCAGTCAGACAAATCCACAGTTGACTCATCTTCATTACTCTGTGCCCCCAGCTCAATCTTCCATGTGGGGGGTCCCCTAGGGAGTGTATTTACAACAAACCCGACTACATCTCTGTTGACCGAATCCATTGCTCTTGGTTTCCATGTTGGGCTTTCAAGGGGTCTCCATCTATTCTGAGTCCATTTTCCTTGGGGTCTGACTCGTTGTTAAGTTGATAGAACAATTTTTGTCTGAGATTAGTGATTTTGAGTGGCTAAGCACTAACATTAGTTGTGTTTTGTGGAAAATTCTACAGAAATAATCCCCAAAGGGGAGACCCTGGATGACGAGACATTCAAACATCTAAACATGAGGGTGATCTTTGGGGACAGAGGTGGAGGCAGGGCCTTTTAGGCACAACCACCCTCTGCCACTCCCTTGCTCATCCATTACACTTGGTTTGCCCACTGCCCGTTTCACTTGGGTCCTTGATGGTTCTGCAACAGTGAAACTCAGTGGCCCCAAGATGAGCCCCGCCTGGCCATGCTGTACACAGAGCCTAGCTCTTTGATATCATCTCCGCCAACCCACACCTTAACCATGGAAACTTAGCAGTGAGGTGCACGGCATTTCTTAGGGATTCGGCTTCCTTCTCTTTTCTGCACATATCACTTTCCACTCAACAACTGAGTTTTATGTGCCAGACACTGTTCCGGGTGCTGGGGAGGGAACAGTGAAGAGAACCAGATTCCAGAAGGTACTTGCTTTTTCTAGAGCTGCCCCGCTTGGGTTTGGGCACGTGAGAGAGGAGGGCTCCCACATCTGCCCTCTGCCTGACTGGGCCTCTCTCTCCACAGACACCTTTGCTGCTCCGCACCCCGTCTCTCCTGCTGCTCAGCCCCAGTTCGTGAATCTGGTTTGGGTTCACTCCGTCCTGTCCACTTGTCTTTTACTGTCCCTGTTGTCTTTGTCTCTTCGTCTGCCAGAGCCCTTCCCTTTGCACCCTTCTCTGCATGGACACGTTTTCCCTCATCTGTCCGCCTCTGTTCCCTGTGCCAGTGTTCTGCCTCTTGCCCCACTTAGGGAACAAAAGCCTTTTAGCCAATTGCTCAGGCAAACTTACTTATTTATTTATTTTTGGTGGGGAGAAGAGGGTTTTTGGCCTCTTGTATTCTCTCCTCACTTCGTCATCTTGCTCTGATTTATTCTTTTCAAACATTCCTTGAGCATGTAACTATTCCCTCTCTTTGAATCTTCTCTGCATTTTTGAGGGGCAGTCTGCCTTTGGTTAACACTTGGAGCCCTGGAATCTTCTCTTCTTCTCTGTCCTCATCTCAAACTGTTACATCTTATCTTGGCTCTGTACAAGTTTTGAGAATTAAGTATTTTTTTCTTTGCATAATTTCCCCTGCACCCAGCTGTGGTTGTCAGAAATTAAAATTCTGAACCTCTGAGTTCCAAGGCCATGATAAAATCAAGTAAATGTGTGTGAATTATGATTCATTAGATCCTTTTTGTTAAATGGAAGAGGTAAACTCCTAAACTACTCTTATTAAAACTTTGACCTCGCTAAAGAGACTTTTATTGCTATAGCCAAACCGCCAAATTATACTCTGGGATACAGGACAGAGATGATTCTATACTGAGGTTGCAGCATCAACCTCAGAATTTCCCTGTTTTAGTGGTTAAAATTATGCATAGGGGAGAAACCAGTGTGGCTCATAATTCAACAGCATGTTTTGAATTTTTAAAAATTTCCAAGTCAAAATGCCATTTGTTTGCCTCTGTAAGAGGTACTTTTCCTGTGAGGGCTTTGCGAGAACTTGCCTTTCAGTGTGTGTGTGTTTGTGTGTACAATACATCACCTGCATTAGCAGTCATTTTTATTTCCCCACATTGACCATCCATTTCTATGTGAAATTCCCCTGGCAAGATGAGGAGACAGTTTCTCAATGTCTGGAACTTGAATATTTCACTCACAGTATGTTAGAATATTAATCAACAGGTGTCAGTAGGTTCTGGAACAGTGTTTTGTAAAGTGCTAGCTTCTTTATTGATGGCAATGAAGGCATCTTTCGTGTATTTTCAGTAGCCAATAATAGCTGTCATTTGTTAACTGCCTTCTCTGTACTTACATTATGTCTTTACACACATTGTCTCTGATCCTTTCAATAACTGCCGTGTAGATGGTGGTATCTGGGTTCTGGGCTTGAACTTTAAATATTCTGGTTCCCCATAGCCTTGATTAGCCATGTCAGAAAAAAAATAGTATATGTTTGCACTAAGTTAGTTTCTCTCTAGTAAAATATTTTACTAAGAAAGCTGAGAAAAAAGCTTAGCTAATTTTAATGTAAAATTTAAGTAATTATATAGAAGTCAAAGCAAGATTAGATTTTATAAAAGGTGTTTTGATACCAGTAGATATCATTCTCACTAATATTTAGATATTATCAATTCCTGGCTATCTTTCTAGACCATGCAGAAAATAATCTTCTAATATTTTATTGGACTAGACAGTCCTTCAAGTAATACATATGACTCTAACTCCAAGGCTTCAGCCAGTGCAGTGAGCATCAAGAATTCTTTTAATTTAATTCTTTTAATTCTTCTATTTAATCTCTATTTATTCTCTTAAAGCTTAGATCTATTGCCAATGGCTAATGCATCAGAAAAAGGCTCTTTTTGCCTTCATTGTCTCTCCTTTACCATATAGTAGGGCAAAAAAGTGAAGAAAGCTTTTCATAACATAAAGTTCATTTGCTAGCTGTTGTTTCTTCCAATAATTACCTCATAAAATTTCTTTAGCCTCAGAGTGCTTGAGATCTGTACATTCTTTTAAAAATATTTAAACAATATAAAAATTAAATTCTATTTTTAGCATAAAATGTAATACAAGCTCATTGCAAAAATTGGAAAATGTAAGTAAACTTCTTAAAAAATAAAGTAAAATAATTTGTAATTCTTCCACTTAGAGAAAAAGTTAAAGTTCTTCTGTACGTTATTCTGAAGTGGTTCTTAATGAATTATGCTATGTTTTCTTTTTACAAATGTGTTTATACTGTATATAATACTTAAAAGTAAGAAAAAATATATTTAATGTTTACCCTCTATCTGATTTTACTATCTGGAAATGAGATAATGAAGGTAATACACATACATATTGTGTGTGTCTGTGTGTCCTAATTTCCGTTTGATAATCAGCCTTCTATCTGAAGAAGTGCCTTTAACATTTTTCATAGCACAGGTCTGTTGACAATAAATTCTTAGCTTTTGTTTGTCTGAAAGCTTTTATTTTA